CCCCCAAAACCCCAAAACCCCAAAACCCCTAATGAGATGCTTTAAGGAGAGTCATGTGATAAATAATAAATTTAAATAAAGAATACTTTATTATGTATCGAAATCAAAATACTAATACTTTCTAAAACCCTCCGTCTTAGGGTAGCTATCTTCGTAAGACAGATCCCAACTACTACGATGATTCGCCAGATATGAATATAAGGCAACCACCTCTAGGCATAAGTAAGGAATTGCAAAGTGCATATCCTAGATACCAAGATTCTACTCAATAAATAATGTATAATCAGCAACAACCATCAAGTCATGCGTATGCATCCATTAATTCCTAATTTGATTTAAATAGATCCAGAACAGGACAGCAGTATTCGAATTAGCAACAAGTGCATGGATCTCAGGTTAGCAATTACATATAGCCAAGTTATCACAATCCCGCTCCAAGGTTGACTCAGAGTGAAGAATCTGGGGGAGTTAACGCTAATACTGAGGGAAATCAATACCAGGATGATGAAGATTTTGACGATGAGCGAGACCACGACGATATGAGAGAAGGAGAGAACGATATTGAGTACATTATTATGAATCTCTACGCTAAAATGAAGAATCTGGAAGGCAAATACATAGACCTCTCAAACTACTACAAGCAGGAACTCGTTAGATCCTCTGTAACTAAAAATCCAAGTGAAATTGAAGGGAATGTAGGCGGCATCAACAATTAAGTAAGGAGTTTTCAAGGTGTTGGAGGCTTGAACAATCTATCATCCCCTCCTAGGAATAAAACTAGCATGATTGAAATGGATTAGTCAGTAAGATACACCTAATTTAGTTATAATATGTTTAGCCTGGCAAAGATTCACCAAAGAGAACTGGCGATATTGCTCAGGAGAAACAAATAATTGAAGATTTAATACTTGAAAAAAGAAAAGTAAGTTAAAATTTAATGAATTTGAATTAATATTTGATTATAGCTCGAAGACGATGTTAAGTAAATACTGGCAATGAGAGGCCAGCCAAATGGAAACTAAGCATCATAAAACATGCATCATCAGCAATCACCTCCTAAATATAAGATTTCAGACTTCAAGACTAATATTCCCAGTTAAGAACAGTTACAGTTCCTTAAATAGTAATTGAGTGAAGCGCTAGACAATGTTATTGATAATCTTGATAATTCATAGAAAAAGGAACTATAGTATTTATCAGCAAAGCAAAATGAGATGTACTAACTTGCCAGCAGATATAACCTACCACCTCAAGTGAAAAATGAATCACTTGGACTCTGGTATGATGCTAAGACTAAGATTACATCTATTATGGGAGACCTAAGGATATCAATTTAATAAAAGTAGAAGCATATTGAAAATAATCTCGTTAGCTCTCAAATCAATAGTGATAGAGGAGGTTCCTTATAACAAGATGCTAATAACCTATCTGGTAACCTAAAATAACAATTAGAATTTATAAACTAGAAAAATGACAAGTCTACTCCGATAAGCAGCAAGATGATTGATGATTTGAAGCGAGAAATGGTCACTATTAAGAAGAAGTCTGAATAGCACTAAAAGTTAGTTCACAAACTCAAGGGATAATTGAAATTTAAGGAAGGATTGATTAAAGAAGAACATTTTAAGCTAAGTTAAATTATCAGAGATCTCAAGCAAAATCTAAACAACATTGACGATAATAATAAGAGACTTTTGAGTGGAGATAAAAATCAAAATATCTTGATGAGTCCTTTTGAAAAGAAGATTGCCACTTATTAGAAGAGTGCTGAGATGAGAAAGCAAAACGAAAGATCTGGCTCTAGAGGTAGAACTACAGGTGCTCCAATGAGCAACACTGGCTCAAACTTTTACAAGTTTAACCCAGATCTTAACAATCCTTAGATAATTCAAAATCTTTCATAACAACAAGATTAAGATCAAGAACTAAGAGTGGTAAAGCAAAAATTCAAGAACTTTGAGGTTACATTTGATGATTTCACCAATAAGCTAATGATTAAAAATCAAGATATCAATGATCTCGAGAGATAAGTTGACTCACATCATTTAGTGGAGGCTAGGGGCCTATAAAATTTGGAATAGTTGATCAACCATCATGCCTAAAACTAGAAGTAAAACGAATAGAGATCCAAATCAAGATCCAGAGTAGATAACCTTACCACATCCCCAGCAGCAGCTTCAGGAGGCTACAATACTAAAGAGCATGATAAAAAACTGGCAGAGTTGCAGAGAAATAATGAGTAGATTTACCAAGAACTGAGGAAAGCAAATGAAAAGTATTTAAACCAGAGAGTTGAGAACAATAAACTCAAGGATGAAAACCAGATTTTAAAGAATAATCTTGACGATGCTCAAATTCAGATTAGAAAGCTTACTAATGCAAGTCAAAATGAACAAAGTTCTTAGAATAATAACTCTAAATCTAATCTCTAAGTCAGGTAGAAGTCTAGAGCCAGTAGATATGAATTATCCTAAGGATAAAATGTATTTGGCTAGTAATAGTAGCAGAGGTAATCTAGCAATAACTCAACTTAATTAACCAGAGAAAACGAAGATCTGAGAAGAAGAGTTCAAGAGCTAGAAAAGGAATGCTATTCACTTACTTATTATCAATAAGAGATGCAAAGAAGAGGTCCTGGATCAAATGGAAACGCATCCTTCTAAGACCCATTCACGAGATAACTTAATATGGAGAATGCTGACATGAAAAATAAGTTAGAATAACTGTGCCTTTAAGTACAAAAATTCATGCTTGCTATGAGAAGACTATAGAGAGCAGTGAACAATAAAGATAAGGAAATTTAGAATCTAAAGGCTGATTTTGAGAAGAATAAGAAGGTCCTAGATACTATGGTCAAAGAGATCAAGGAGAAAGAGGACAACAAGAACTCTAATAAAGCAGGCAACCTTACAACAAATGCCTATAATAATCCTCAGCATTTCTCAATGATCCTGGGTGGCAACAGAGATAGCAGATTTGGAAATGAAAGTCAAGAGAGACAAGTAACTTCGTCAGTGCTGAGTGCTCAACCTTTGAGGAATAGAAGCCAAGCACCGAAGGATCTGAACACTAGCGGAAGTTTCGCAAACCGCTAGTAATACCCAATAACCTAGAGACCAGGAGCAATGAACGATGACCTTAATCAATCTAATGGCTAACTTCCTCCAAAGAAAGGCATTATAAGACCAAAGACTTCTCAGCAATAGCACTTCACTCCAATTTAAAACTAAGGCTTTAACACAGAACTTTAAACGCCTTAACCATATGGGCAGGTGCCAAGTCAGTAATACCAAAGCTTGGATCTTTAGAATTAGGAGTACTAAGAGAACTTTAATAACTTACTCGAGGAAGTTAAGAATATGCAGGAGGAAAGAGAGATCCTTAGATAATAAATAGAGGAATTAAAGACCAGATGCGAGAATGAGACTGCTGAAAGAAATGCTTAGGAAGTTAAACTTAGTTAGAAAGCTGAGAATATCAACAAACTTAATAAATAAATCAAACAGTCAACTGATAGAGTTTACAAGTTAGAGAAGATAGTAAATGAATATAAAGACGGATTTTCGTTACTTGAAAACGCTTAAAATCTAAACTAGTTGGCAGTTAGTAAACTGAAAACTGATTTGCTTTACAAGGAGAGAGACTTGATAGCTTAAAACGAGATAGTCAATAAGGATAAATTTATTCCATTTGGAAGCCAATCTATCTACATTCAAACTGTATTGACAGGTCCAATTGAAGATAAATCGAAATTAGATTCTTTGAAAGCTTAATTAACAAGCTAGGTGTAAGCAAAAGAGTAAGAGTTAGAAAGACAATTTATTGGTTTGGAAGAAAGACTAAATGCCAAGGAGTAGGATTTAGATTCAGTTAAGAAGCTTTTTATGGATAAACTGAAGGAACTAGAGTCCAGTTTTGTTGAACTAAGCCAAGATATGATTGAATCTGAGCATGTGCAATTAGAAGCATCAAAGAAATATCAATAAAAGTAGCAATAGCAATTGAGATAGTCTTAGATTTAATAGAATAAGAACTAAAAAAGCTATGATGCCTAGAATGAGCTAGAAAGGTCTATTGAATAAATACTCAGTGATGGAGGAGTGAATAAATAAAAACTAGAGGAGGAGTTGCAAGAATAGATTGACTCTTTGACATAAATGAATGAACAACTCTAAGATGAGAATGGTGAACTCAGACAAATCATCAAGCAACTTTAGAAAGACCTCTAGAACTAAGATGAATTGCTTTTGATCAAAGCTCAGTACGATGAAATCCAAGAAATCAATGATAGACTTGAACAGGACATAGAAAATCTATCAACAGAACTTGATCTGACTAAGAGATAAGCAACTTAACTTAAATCCCAACTTGATAAAACTAAGACAGACCTGGCAGAGACTCAGAAATCTAAGGATAAAGCCATCAACACATATTAGGCATAGCTAGATGAGGCTGAAAATTAACTTCTTGATATGAACAACATGCTCTCTAAAGAATAAGAATAAAGGATTCTATTTGAATCAGAGTTCAGTAAGGCTGAAAAGCAGGTAAAGCAAGCAAAAGCTGAGAAAATGCAAATCGAAACCTAGAGAGAAAAACTAGCTAGAAAAGAAATTGAACTTATGACTGAAATCCAGTCACTCAAGGAGGAGATTGAATACATAAATACACTTAGGAAAGGAGAGATGAGCTTTGATAGCATGGCTGACTAGGACCAGAACCAGGAAGCTTCAAATGCAGGAGCAGATGATGAGGAGGAAAAAAGGATACAGAACAACCCAAGTGACGCTGCTCATCACTATCTAAGGCTATTCAAAGCCACAAAAAAAGAGTTCAAGATCATGACCAATAACAGAGATAAAATCTAGGTTAAGTATGACGAACTTAAAGATAAATTTGATTCACTTAAGCAAGAGTCAAGGTCTAATGTTGAGGAGATTATGAATATGGAATCTAAGATCTTTGACTTGACTTCAATGAATGAAAGACTTTAAAATGAGCTTGAGAGAACAAAGGGCTCTAATAAAGTTGAGGAGGAGAATATCAGACAATAGATTCAAGCTGAATTTAAAGAAAGACTTAATTATAAGGACTCAGAGATAGAGGAAATGACCAAGAAGGTAGCAAGAATCTCACAAAATAACATTGAGCTCACTTAAAAAATCAATAGATTAGAGGGTAACAACTAGGAACTAATGGTAGACAATGAATCCATGAGAAATTAGATATCATCTTTGGAGATGGAGCTCGAGATGACAAAGGTCAATAACGAAAGAGATATTGAGTAGCTTTAGCAATAGAAAGAAGAGGATAAAAAAGTAGTAGATGAATAGCTTTAGCAAATCTAAGCTGAAAAGGTACAACTTTTTACTAAAGTTGATAAGAAGAAGCAAAAACTCGGCAAAATGAGATAAGAGCAGACTTAAAGTAAAATGCTCTCTGAAACAATTAAGAAATCATTAGAATAAAAACTTAACGATATCCAGGAGCATCTTAAGAGAGAATAAGAACAAAAAGATGAATTGGAGAGACTTAAGCTTGAGGAGGCTGAATAACTTTAAAATGATAAACTCCAATTAGATATGAAGCTTTCTAAGAAGAAGCAAAAGCTTGCTCAATTGAAATAGTAGATTGATGAGGAAAGATAAGAAAGAGAGCAGATTCTTTCTTTGAAAGAATAGATTGAAGAAGAGAGTAATAATAAATAATATGAGCTCGAGGAGAAAATATAAAAGAAGAAGTAAAAGCTTTAGCAACTAAAGAGTTAACAGTCTCAAGCTGGATTTATGCAAGAAGCAATTAAAAAATCTCTTGAGGCTAAATTACAAGAAATATCTCTACAACTCAAAGAAGAGCAGAGAGTCAAGGATGAGATAGAAGAATAAAGAATTCAGCAGCAGTAAGAGGCCTAAGAAGAACTAGATAATCTTCAATACCAACAAGAATAAGAACTTGAAAGATTGAAGCTTCAATTCCAATAGCAGCTTGAAAATGAAAAGAAATCAAAGGATGAGACCCAAGTCAAATTACTAGAAGAAATGTAAAAGAAGCATGCTGATGAAAAACAAAAGTTAGAGCAAAAACTCAAGGAGGAGATTGATTAACAAGAAAGTAGACTCAAGGAAAGTGAGCAAGAGAAGCTAGAGAGAGTAAGATAGCAACTAGAACTTGAGAAATAAGAATAGTTGAAATAACTTTAGGAGGAGCTATAACAAGAGAAAGAAAAGAGAGAGATAGAATTGCTACATGAAATGGAACAAAATTAGATCAAGTTAAAGCAAGAACAACTGTAAAGAGAACAAGACATTCTCTCAGAGTAAAAGCATAAGTTAGAAGAAGCTTAAAATAAACTAAAAGAACAAATGAAGCAGGAACTTTCAAAGAAAGACAAAGAAAAGCTCCTAGTTGTTAAGTTATAGCAGCATGTGAAGAAATGTATAGAAAGAGAACTTTAAGAAGCAATTGATAAAGCTGAACAACAAGAATAAGAAAACGAGAGAATGAAAAATGAATTCGATTAGCAGCTAACTGAGTGTGATGAGTTATTCTAATAGGAGCTTAAGGCCAAAGAAGATGAGATTCAAGCAATGAGATCTGACTTTGAGATATAAAGAGAGGAATTAATACAGCAATTAAGAGAGGAGTTTGAATTAGAAAAACAAGAAAGAGAACTTGAATTACAGCATGCAATGGAGGAAAAGGAGATTTAATTAAGATAAGAGTAATTGGAAAAAGAGTAAGAAGTTTTGAATGAACAGAGATAGTAGCTTGAAGAGGTCTAGCAAAGGTTATAATAAGAAATGAGGTAAGAACTGAGCAAGAAAGACAAGGAAAAGATGCTAGTAGTCAAACTCTAGCAACATGTAAAAAAATGTATTGAGAAGGAACTTTAAGATGCAATTAACAAAGCTAATTAGCAAGAGGAGGAAAATGCAAGGCTAAAAGAAGAGATTGATCAATAACTCACTGAGTGCGAGGAGCTATATCAGCAATAGTTATAAGAAAAAGAAGAATAGTTGAATTTACTCAGACATTAACTTGATTAGGACAAAGAAGCTATCTGCTAGCAAAAAGATCTAGAGCTATAGCAAAGGGAGGATGATTACCAAAGAGAAAGAGAAGAGTACGAGTAGATGCTTAAGGATTTGGAGCAGCAAAAAGATTAGGAACTCAGAGACATTGAAACTAAGCTTAAGCAATAAGCTTAGCAGGAGCTCAAGACTTAAAACAAAGCAAGATCACTAGTTCAAGTTCTTGCAATGAAAGCAAGAGATATTATTCTATAAGAACTTGAGAAAGAGAAAGAAGCTAGAATCTAATAAGAGTTAGAAGCTAAACAAGAACTAGACAAGGCTATTGAGCAAAAGGAAGTGGAATTAAATCAATTGAGTGAAACTAATAAGATAAAACTTGATATGCTCAAACATCAACTTCAACAGCAATCAACTTAGGATTAAGAAGAATTGAAGAGCCAGCTTTAGAAAGAAATCGATTAATTATAAAATGAGTCTAATGCTAAGCTATAGAGATAACTACATGAAATCGAAAGACTTAAGGATGAATAGGATGAACTTGTTAAATCCTTAAGTGAGAAATAAGATTAGTAAACTAAAGACTTGCTCAATTAAAAAGAAAGAGAGAAGGAGTAGATTAAGGAGGAGATGGAAAGACTCAAGTAAGAACTTGATGAGAAGTACAATCGTAGCATTGATGAAAAAGATAAGTAAAATAAATTGCTTCAAAGTATGCAGGAAAAAATAAGGAAAGATTTGGAATTGAAACTATAGGAATCAGTTCAAAGCTTGGAAAAACTCGAACAAGATAAAGAGGATTAGATAGAAGAATTAAGATAATAGCAAGAATAAGCATTGAGATCTATAGAGGGCAAAACTAAGGAGGAACAAGAAAAGCTGAGGAAATAGATTTAAGCTGAAACAAATGAAAAGATTAGACTAGCTTAAGAGAAAGAAGAGGAGCTTTAAAGATTAAAGGAGGAATAAGAGTCCCTTCTCGAGTAATTAAACAAAAAGAAGTAAGATGAGATGAAGAAGCTGTAGAATGAACTCGAGAAGTAGATTCAAACATTAAACAATCAAGTAGAGGACCAAAAAAATTATATTGAAGAACTTGAAAATCTTAATAAGGAATTCACCGAAGAACTTGAGTCTTCAAAGTCTGATCAATAAAAACAAATAGATTCTCTGAAGAAATAACTTAAAGAAGATTAATAAAAGACCAAAGCTGATATCCAATAGCTTAAAAAGGAGCATGAGGATTAAATTGATGCCATTCATATTGAAAACTAGGAGAAAGAGGATAAGCTTGAGAATCAAATTCAACAACTATAGAAATAAGTAAAGGAGCTTAATAATCAATTATCGTAGTAACTTAAGTAGAAGGAATAGGAACTTGAACAGACTAAGGAACAGCATGAGGAATTACTCTAACAGGTATAGAATAAAAACTCAGAGCAATTAGAACAACTCAAGAAGAAGCTTGAAACAGATCATAATTAGGCCATCAACAAGAAAGACCAGGAAAAATCATTGTTTGAAAAGATGCAAGAAAAGATCAGAGAAGATCTCAAGAATAAACTTGATGAGTAAGAAAGAGAAAGACAGTAGAGTATGGTTAAGATACAAGAACTTGAGATTGATATCTAGAACAAAGAAGAAGACATCGAAAACGAAAGAAAGGAGAGAATTGAGACTCTGGCTGAGCTTAATGAGCAAATCGAGTAGCTCTCTTAAGAAAATGAAAGTTTGAAGGAACAAAATGAATAGCTAACCAGTGAACTAGATGCTTTGAAGAAAACCTAATCAGAATCTGAGAATCAGTAAGTTCGCCAACTTTCAGAGTAACTCTCTCAGTATTAGCAGAAAACTCAAGTGCTTGAGAAGGAAAACTCAACTAACAAGCATGACCTAGAATCACTAAAGACTTAGGTTAAGACCAAAACTGATGAGATACAAGGACTAGAGACTGATCTTGAAAAGCAATTTGAGGAGAATCAGCAGTTAATGAAGGATATTGAGAAGATGCAATAGGATGAGTAGACTTTCAACTAAAATATCAGAGAGCTGAAGTAGCAAGGCAAACAAAAGGACAAATAAATAGCTCATCTTGAGGCAGAAATGCAAGAGAAAGATCAAATAATCTAAGAGAAGCAATAAGATCTCGACAGTGAAATTGAAAAGAGACAGAAAGATAAAAAGAAGGTTTAAGAATTAGAAGCATAACTCAAGACTCTAAGAGATACTCATGATGAAGAACTTGATCAACTTAACAATTAAATAGCGGATCTCAAAGCTTAGATTGATAAACTCCAAAAGCAGAAGTAGGCTAATGATGGCAATAAAATGAATCAGTCAATTGATGAAATTGAGCAGAAACTAGGAGAATTCGATATTCAGATAAACGAACTCATGAAGCAATCAAATGAAATTCAGAAATAAAAGGAATTCAGAAACAGTCTGCTCGACAGTGCAGAGAAAGACAACAACACAGAGATAATTGGTGATCTTAATGATGATTAACTGTAATTCTGCAAGAGGGTCAAATATCAAGATTAAGCTTGGTATTTGCTATTCAAGTCTGGTCTGTATCACTGGCTTAATTAAGACAAGATTCCACTTGAAAAGCTAAAGGAGATTGATGTCCAGGAAATAGAAGATAGCTAAGGCAAGATGGAGGAGAAACTAGCAGACCTCAGAAAATAAAAAGAATCACTTCATCAATTAATTTCTTCAACTAAATCAGGCAGGCAACAAGAAAAAGATCAATAAAGCATAAAGCAACTTTAGGTCGAGAACGAAGATCTTAAGGCTTAACTAAATGAGCAGCTCCAAGCAAATAATAATCTTTAGCAAATGACGATTCAACTTAAGTAAAAGATCAATGACCTCAATGATAAGATTATTGGTTTGGCAGATACAGATAAGAGCTATGAAAACATCTCAAAGTATCTTGAACTTCACAAACAAAAAGAAGAACTGAGCTAGAAACTCAGAGAATAGCTAGAGAGTAACATGAGACTTGACAACGAGAATGAAACACTCAGAAAGTAATTATAAGATTCAGAATATAGTTTTGCTCGAGGTGGTGGAAAGAGTTTCGCCATGAAGCCTGAAAACTTTGATATTAATACGTCAAGTATTGACCAGAAGCTTGAAGATGAGGACATTGATCTACCCTAGGAGAGCATTGTCGATAAATACAAGAAGCTACATGCTGAACTTGAGGAGTACAAGAAGTTGAATAAAGATTTCTAAGTAAAGAATAATTCACTTCAAGATGAGCTGAAGACAGTTAAAGCTTCCTAATCAAACGCAAGTCAACAGTAGTAGCAGCAATAAATGGATGCTCAAGAGGCATTTGAAAACTTGCAGCTAGCCAAGTAGCTTATCATTTAGTATCTTGAAAACGTGCCAATCAGTACTCCAGAGAACGAACAACGTTTATCAGTTATTTATAGTATCTTAATGCTCACACAGAGTGAACAGAACAATTTAACTAATAAGAGGACTGCTTTAACTTAGAAAAACGTGCAGGATAATGTAAAGAAGGGTATTATGGGAGGTTTATTCAAGAAAAAATGATGAAATAAATGCTTTATATTTCTATTGATGAGTATAATAATTAATATATCACTTTGATCTTAAATTTTACTAATTAGTTTACTTTTCATCAACAATACTTATTGGGGTTTTGGGGTTTTGGGGTTTTGGGG